CGGACTTTTAATATTCGAGGTACGAAAGTTTTCGTATATATATGTTAGAACTAAATAATTTTAATAAACTCTCATTTAATGAAAATAGAGGAATATTGAAAATAAAATAGTGTTTCGTTATGATTTCGGACGAGTAGGGAGTAAAATGACAGTCAAGCGTTTCTGTACGTCATACCATTTAATAATTACAATTTAAATTATATAATTATACGACCTTACACGTACGGTGCTCTAGGTTACGTAGATGTAATAAGTAGGTATTTTAGTTAGACTATTACGTATATTACATGGAATGAAGTAACATTTCAGTTGACGCTACACGAACGTAATACTTGAGCTTAATTTAAAAGTGGAGAACGCATCCTTCGCACCTGACGAGTAAATAGGTTTTCGTTTACGTTTTTCAAAACCCCCGTTTCTATCATCCTCGATTCTTTTCTCGATACCGCGTGTATATACGGACGAACGATGCAATCGATAGGAAAAAAAAACGAACGAACGTGACAAAGTCGGTCCGAGAAATCAGATTGATTGAAAAAGACGCGTTACGCGACTTCCTTCCATTACGGATATCTTTCCCCTTAAACAGCGCGAAAAAAGCCGAACTCTGCGAGTTGAATTCATAGGTACGGAACGTGTATGTACGACACGCGGCGTGAACAACAAAAAATAATAATAATAATAATAACGAAACAAATAAAATACAATATTAACACTGGACCAAGTCATTAGCAACAGGCTCACTCTCAATAGAATAATAGCGATAATATCAATAATTTCAATAATCATCGTAATAATATTAATAATAATAATAATAATAAACCTCACTATTCATTTATTTAAATATCCCTAATAAGGTACCAGGCGATAACGAAAGATACAATAATGTAGAAATTGTTTGATCGCGTTGAACAAGATATCACAAGTTATTCGTGAAGTTCGGATACCTTCTTCCTTTTCTTTTTCTTATCGACTGCAGAAAGAATTCGAGGAATCGACTCGTTCGTTAGCGCCTCGTACGATAATAACGTCGTTCAATATCGTGTTGCAATATATTCAATAGTTATGTACAATTCAACATTATCCTATTCTTACATCTCCCTTTTCCTCTCCTTTGTTCGCTTGCACCTTACAATTTAGTGACCTTTTTCTCTCTCTCACTCTGAATATCGTTAATATACTTTAGATCCCTGTATTCTTCCGAATTTGCCTCACGTATACGCGTAATTCACGACGTCTTATTAAGCATAGAGCGACCGCTAGCTTTCTTCGTTTATTATTCTCTTACGTATCACAAGATAGACCAATTAACGCGTGCGCACGCGTGCACGCGACTCGTCCGCGAACACACTATCTAAAATTCATTTACACACCTGCCGTTTCGTTCGATTAGGTCGCCGAGAGGTCTCCTGTTCCTCCCCTTTCTCCTCTTCCTCGAAACAACTGCTCGTTCTTCTTTTTCTTTCGATGGTACGGTGTATTGACGCACTGGGGTATTTAATTCGCTTGTGTCCGCACACTGCGCGTTGGGATGCGCAGTTGCGAGTGCGCAGCCAAGTGGAAGGCGCATGCGCTACTGCTAATACGTTTCGTTCGCGGAGTTATGGTTTCTATCAATATTCACGATTGCAGATTTACAAAATCGCAACTTCGGACGAAATTTAATCTTGGAGAAACATTAATGCTTCGTTTATCGCGTCTAAACAAACGATATACAAATTAAACTTTAAAAGGTTCAATGTTAGGCGTGACCAAGTGATACAAAATTCCCAAATTACCGAATCTTCAAACTTACAAATGTTCAAGTTTCTAAATTTTCAAAGTTTAAGTTTCTGAGTTCACTGTCGACAGGAAGACGCTTGTTCACGCCTGTATACAACACAACCTGCTCTATATGTCGGGAATATAAAGCAAACTTATTAATTTTCTCGGTGCAAAGCGATACTTTCCCGATCGATTTGGCTTAACGCGTCCACAACGCAGCAAACGAGCTCCACAATTGCACGACGATTCGGATTCGCAGTCGCCACTACTAACATATCGGTTGTTTTCGTCTTATTTGCTAGAGAGTATTATGCGCCTGGTCGGCTCGGTTTCCAAGGAGCGTCGTTCGAACGGACGTTCAATAGATTCAGCAGCCTCTATCGAAAAACGGCAGAGAATAGAGACTCGAGTATTAATAGGCACCTTACGTACTATGAAGTAGAGACTTTAACGTGCACATAGTTAGATCCCTGTATTCTTCCGAATTTGCCTCACGTATACGCGTAATTCACGACGTCTTATTAAGCATAGAGCGACCGCTAGCTTTCTTCGTTTATTATTCTCTTACGTATCACAAGATAGACCAATTAACGCGTGCGCACGCGTGCACGCGACTCGTCCGCGAACACACTATCTAAAATTCATTTACACACCTGCCGTTTCGTTCGATTAGGTCGCCGAGAGGTCTCCTGTTCCTCCCCTTTCTCCTCTTCCTCGAAACAACTGCTCGTTCTTCTTTTTCTTTCGATGGTACGGTGTATTGACGCACTGGGGTATTTAATTCGCTTGTGTCCGCACACTGCGCGTTGGGATGCGCAGTTGCGAGTGCGCAGCCAAGTGGAAGGCGCATGCGCTACTGCTAATACGTTTCGTTCGCGGAGTTATGGTTTCTATCAATATTCACGATTGCAGATTTACAAAATCGCAACTTCGGACGAAATTTAATCTTGGAGAAACATTAATGCTTCGTTTATCGCGTCTAAACAAACGATATACAAATTAAACTTTAAAAGGTTCAATGTTAGGCGTGACCAAGTGATACAAAATTCCCAAATTACCGAATCTTCAAACTTACAAATGTTCAAGTTTCTAAATTTTCAAAGTTTAAGTTTCTGAGTTCACTGTCGACAGGAAGACGCTTGTTCACGCCTGTATACAACACAACCTGCTCTATATGTCGGGAATATAAAGCAAACTTATTAATTTTCTCGGTGCAAAGCGATACTTTCCCGATCGATTTGGCTTAACGCGTCCACAACGCAGCAAACGAGCTCCACAATTGCACGACGATTCGGATTCGCAGTCGCCACTACTAACATATCGGTTGTTTTCGTCTTATTTGCTAGAGAGTATTATGCGCCTGGTCGGCTCGGTTTCCAAGGAGCGTCGTTCGAACGGACGTTCAATAGATTCAGCAGCCTCTATCGAAAAACGGCAGAGAATAGAGACTCGAGTATTAATAGGCACCTTACGTACTATGAAGTAGAGACTTTAACGTGCACATAGAAACTGCGCTTCGTCGGGGAGGGAGCGGTGCGGTCACGGATCCCTCCCTGGCGAACGCGCCCGGACAGATAGATCGAACGAGCGAAGGAAGAGAAAGAGAAAGAGGAAGTGGAAGAAGAAACGAGAAGTAAGTACATCAGCGCATCTCGTCTGCTTTGTTTCGTTTTCGGGGCAAAAGGGAAAACGGCGCGTGGGCAGGAAGTGGGCACAGGAGAGGTGGGCAGGGGGGCAATTCAGAGATGCGGAACGGTGCGCAGCCAGACAAGATAATTAATTAATTAGTCGCTCAATTAATTAATTATTTAGACCGCTAAATTCTACGCCTTAAACTACTGATTCGGTTTCATCTCACCCGCTGAGGTAGCCTCTCGTCCGCGTTTAATATCCGGTACTCTTGCAATCTAGTCGCGGCGAGAGGCCCTCGGAGCGCGTCCAGTCCATTTGATCGGGCGAACGGCGTCTTTTGCAGAATATCGTTTTTGGCTTCTCTTCAACTTCGAATAGTCCTATTGTGACGGCGTATACTCGTGTACACAGGTCGATGCTGACAGATTTACTTATCGTCATTTAATTCTATATTTTCTCGATACTTTGTACAACTCTTCCAACCCTCGTGTCAATAATCCAATTATTCACTATTGTTTCATTATATACTTCAAACTGCTTTATAATTTCTAAAATGTTCGCCCATCACAAGTCCTGCGAATACTCAACAGAAACACTGCGAGTGGTTAAAGCAGTGTTACACTTATTTTCTGCAATTACGGTCCTAGATATTACTCAGACCGAAAATCGTAGAAAGTACACTTATCATTCTGAATCCTCATCTTGTGGCGAGTGTATAGCAACGTAGAATAAATTTCCTTCAGCTGTTTTTAATATCGGAACAATGTAAAAAGAGAACGAATCAGACAGCTGAGTTTTAAAATAACGAAAACATATTTGACAGACACGCATTGCCGATTATTTTTGTTGATATACGAATTGTATTATTGGCACAAGGGTTGAACTATCAGAGGGACAGTGATGATGGTACAGTAGTCGCAGAGATATATATAGCATGGTTATAAATTTCGTTGATTCGTAAACGACACCTGTTTCTTTCACGCTTGACTGGCTCGAAAGATCAGAGATGCCGATAACGAACTCGGATCGACGTTCAGTGCCGCGCAATATCAATGACCGTGTAATACTTATTCACCAAAGTGCTTTTATTTTATCCCATCACCGATAACAGTCTGTGAACGGTTAAAGTTCCAGGTATTTCAAGTACTGAACAGAATTGTCCGACATTGCAATCGAAAGCAAACACGCGTCCGACAAGTTGGTTCGCGTATTCCATAGCCAACTTAGCGGACGCGCACGGTACCGGTCGAGCGACATTTACGACCACGCTATATTTTCGCGGCAAGTATACCGAGATCGAAATCGCTCCGTGAAACCTCGGAAGAAAAAAGTCCGAACAGCGTGTTTCTCTGTCCGCGAAAAGGAAGAAAAGGAAGAGAGAAGGGAAGAAGAAATTCCGGTTGACGAGTGACAATCCGTCTAGGCATCGGTGGTCTGTGTCAGACCTCGCTGGGTCTCACCACGTGTCCTACTGGAAGTGAAGTGTGTCTCAGCCCGGCGGGTCACGTGGGACGCGGCCAGGCCGAAAGCGTAAAAAAGCCTTTTAGAAGTTCTGCTCGCCGTACATCCCGGGGAACCGGACAGCGTGTGCTCCGAGCTCGGCGGGCGAGAACTCGTCCTATGTGGCCAAGTGAGCGAACTGGCCTGGGTGGGGCGCGAACTGGTAAGGGTGGCCATACGGCGACATGTGGTACGGTACAATGTTCATGCTCGCCATCTTGTGCTCCTTTTTCCACTTCATCCGCCGATTCTGGAACCAGATCTTTATCTGACGTTCCGTCAGACAGAGGGCATGGGCGATCTCGATGCGACGCCGCCTCGTCAGGTAGCGATTGAAGTGAAACTCCTTCTCCAACTCCAGTGTTTGGTACCTGGTGTACGACGTCCTTTGTCGTTTCGTTTCGCCGTTCGCGTTCACCGTGCCTGCAATCAGAATTCTCTTATTAACACCGGACACGTCAGTGATACACTTTGTTCGGATATTGTTCCATCGCTACACGTTAGACGAGGACGCGTTTAAGTGGTAGATAGCATGCTCTGGTTCTTTCGTCTCCGTCTTGACTTGACGTCATTTTCATATGCAACGTAGCCCTTGTTTTTACCGCGTATCATTATGCTCGGTGCACATATTCTTCCTCGAAAAAAAGAAGCAAACGTTTGAAGACATAAAAACGTTCATTACCGAATTCCCAAGGTTTGAAATGCTCAGTTCATAACACAACCCCATTAAAATATCCAATCGACATGCAACCGGATCTACGTGAAATTAGGTTCCGAGGCGTATAAACCGGCTAGACCTATTAGCAAATTGATTGGACGCGCGCAAGAACGATCAAGGGGGGTAGAGAAAAAATATACAAGACCGTGAACCGTTGAACATGGCGGCCATACGAGATACGGTACCCGAGCAGGGTAGGAAAAATGGGAAAAAGGGCGATCAAAGGCACACGGTCCATAATAGCAGGGGCTTAGTCGTGTAACGCTTCGCGAGTTCGTTAATTATTTCAACGAGTCCCGCGGTTAAATGCATCGACCGTTGCTACTGGATCGCGAAACTGTTCAGTTGGCAGCTGTTTTACCTATTTGCTCAGCACGCTCGAGCCATAAATAATTTTGCAACGCTGTTATTACGATACTCCGCCTGTTACACCTATCTCCTCCGCGTTGCAAAAGCCGTGACTATCTGGTAAATGAATAGCTCGGCCAACGAGCATCGGGAGAAATCTCGAGGCCGCCTTTAAATACCAATAACCTGTTACTTATGCGTTTCCAGCTGCGCGATTGCTACTATACGCTAAAACACTCTGATTTACTCGTTACGCCTTAATATTCCAATTACATACCGTATTGCCACGTTATACTTTCATTTTATTACCAAATGGAGAATCAATTTTACAACCCGACATTATCAATTTAATAAATTATAGACATTTCGTTTGAGTCTGTTTATCTTTCAACGATCGTAGACGTAGAGCATGTACAGAGATTTAGAGGTGTAGAGATTTAAGCAGTTTTGATGTTTATAGGAAGTTGAAAATGTAGAAGAAATTGTAGATAGGTGGATCTGGAGATGTAGGAGCTTAGGTTTATACAATGGGATTATAGGGATCGTATGAATCTAGGTTTATGGAGACCAAGGGATCTAGGAACTTAGCCTCGTAGAAATCTACATTCGTGGAGATCTAGTTTTATAGAGTTTCAGACTCATAAAGAATTAGAGTTGCAGGGATCTAGTATTATAGGTATCTAGGTTTATAGAGACCTGGTCTTATAGACATCTAAATTTATACCAATCTGGGCTAATAAGGTTATAGAGATCTAACTTTGTGGACATCCAAAGACCCATGTTTATAGTGTTCCATACTTATAGATTCAGAATTCGTTGGTACCTATTATTGGTAATCTTAACATTCAATTGGCCACACATGAATCTGGGCTTACATCTATTTTCACTCCACAATTTGAGTACTCAAATCATAGATATCTATAGATCTAGATATAGCACGCGTAGAAAACTATGCTTGCAGTGATATTTAACAAGTAAAAAATACAGGCTTTCACATAATACCAAGCACCTGTACCGCGTAAACCAATGTTATAAATTACTATCTGACACTTTGTATACGAAGAATTAATTACACACAGATCACGGAACAAATTGTAATTGATAAGATAAGAATTTTGCTTACGAGTGGTCCGATATCCAAGACAGATCGTAATTTCTTTTTTTCTGGATGGGTAAAATCGAACGCGGTATCGGGAGTTTTCGATCGATCGAGCAGGTGCGAGGTGAGCCAAGGGTCGAGACTCCGGCATGATCATAGATCCATGTCGATGCGGATATTAAAGAGTCCGGCTCATTTGCAGCAATAATGAAAGTGCTATTAATAGCGTTTCAAGAGGGAGAGTTGAATGTGGATTGCTCAGGGACAGCGCTCCGAGTCTAACTCTGTATGCGAAAACTAGCTTTTCGTTAGAGAAAGAGAATACATTGTACAAGGCAGTAGAAAGTGTTCTTGTTCGAAATTCTGTACATGTGAAGTAATTGGAATGATTTAGACGAGGTTTGTAATTATGTTTCTTTACGAAACGTCAGTATTGCGATAACGCGAGCGCGTTCTTTAGAAAGGATGTTAATGGTCCAAAGAATGAAACTATAGCTGCGTTTATGTTCTGTACGGTTAAAAAAAGCGTTCACTTACGTTTCACAATACATGTATTTTATTATGTACATTATTTTGTATGAGATAACACAATTTTTATAATTGTTCCTTTAGAAAGTCAGTTCCTTATTGTTTTGTATAACTACCCCTGAATTTTTGATGGAATATTAGACAAGTATTTTATATCAGTTTCATAAATGGTTTCCTACAATGATTTGTCTGAACCTATGCTTACAACACCAGACTGTAGCGTTAGAAAATTCAAACAACAAGGACAATATTATTCACGATGAATATACAATATCCTACACTACATCGAGTTTTAAAAATTATGAAGCTGCAAGATGAATAATGAAAGTGCAAGTCCAAGTTATCTCGTGATCGGTCAACAACGTTTGGGCATAAAACCCGAATTAACGAGTAGCCGATTGTGTTAATTGCCTATATAACAGCGTGTCCGATAAACATCGGAAAAATAAATTTTCCTCAGACGATGAAGGATCTGCATGGTAGTCGCGATCTTCATCGAGCTGAAAATCACTGTAGCTTGATGAGTAATGCGGCAACGAATGCGTTAAAAATGATCAAGTTACGAAGAGAAATGTGAAAAGTGAGGAAAGGGTTCGAGGAGGCAAAGTTGGAGCTTTCGGAGTGGAGGTGTCCAAGCGAAGCTTAATGACCAGACAGTCGGAGGTGCGCGTTATCACTTTCCTCCCGATGTAGCACGTCGTTGGTCTGACTTTTTAATAAATAGTGGGCCGGCTGTCTGGCTGGTCCAGGCCCGCATATCGTTTATCCGGCACACCTAGCCGTTTTGTAACGGCCGAACGGAATTCCTTTTTCTGGCTGGCTCATTATTATACGACAGTCGAACGCGCGAACTAAGCCGGCACGCGTACCGAACGTTGCCCAAGGGATCGAGCGTGCTCGATCGTCCTCCCGTATCCTCTTTGTGGATCCTTTCCGGTGATTAATTGCTATCCGTGTACCGCTGACGTCGATACAACCTATGCCACGGCGAGGGAACAATCCTGAATCGAGCTGCTTCGTTCCTGACGACGGACGTCTCGATCCTTTTTATCGTATTTTTCAACATTTTTTACGTAAGGTTATGCATTCCCTTCAGTGACAACTTTCACGCGGACACTCAAAGTTTTATCTGATTATTTTATTAAAATCCTGCGTGGTTGGAGTGCGTATCAGTTCATAAACCATTGTTTGTAATACTTGAAATTTCAGTGAGAATAGGGAGAAAAATATTTTAACGTGAATTGTATAATGTTACAGTGTTGTGAGATATAATGATCATTCAACGATAGAAGCTTGAGGGGTGAGAGTAGGGGATGAGCATAGGGGACGAAGCGCATTACGCAAGTGATACATAGAGGTACGAATAGTAGGATCAAAATTTAGAAATATAAAAGCTTGGAAATTTGCGAACATGGTACTCTATAAATTTAGAAATTGAACACTTGGAAATTTGAGAGTTGAAAAATTGAAATTAATGAGTACCTAAAAACTTGAGTGTTTAAAATTATTAAACTTGAGGAATACTAAAATCTGAAAATCTAAAAATTTGAAAGTTGAATATTCAGAAATGTTATAAATTGTAAATTCTGGAACTTCGAAGCTGTAACTCAAATTTCAAGAAGTCTAAAAATAAAAGAATGAAATTTGTAGAAAATTTAAAAATCGTGTAAAGATAAATCTCGAGCACGTACAGAAGACCTCGAACGAAGGAGGAAAAGCTAAACGGAAGCATAATAAATTCAACGCATAATTTCTGGATATGTTTCCAAGCTCTCATCATTAATCTTAAATTTCACACGGCGTGGAACGTGTTAAAAATGAAATTGGCAACGTTACAAATGTCGTGTTACAATTGGACCTCCTAGACGTTTGATTTATACATTTTGTCAAGCGCTGTTAAACCAACAAGAACTTTTACAAAAATCCCACTACCCGAGTGTACACGTTGAATCTCGATATTCGAAAATCTTTTATACGTATGATTTCATAGTACCTCTATTAATAATTTAAGAAACATAATGAAACTTCTATCTGACATTTCTGAAGAGATCTATTGAACTGGCCGTAAATGATAAATGCAGGGAAACCATAGATGCGTGAACGTTGAGACGATGGACATTTGAGACTGGATCACATTAACGATACACGTGAAAAATTATTCGGGGAACCATTTAATGTTTCATTTTACATAGAGACGTCATATGTTCTTATATACACAGACATTGCTGCGTTTGTAAATGTTCTTTTATGTACAGAGTCATCTCTATATTCTTATATGCTCAGAACATTACTATACTCCACTATATTTATACAGGGACATCACTATATTTTATATACTCAGAGACATTGCCATACTCGACTACATGTATACAGAGACATCGATGTATTCCTACATACACATAGACATTGTTATGTTCCTTTACTCAGAACATTGCTATATACCACTATATATATACAGAGACATCACTATATTCTTATATACTCAGAGACATTGCCATACTCGACTACATGTATACAGAGACATCGATATATTCCTATATACACATAGACATTGCTATGTTCCTTTATTATACACAGACATCGTCATGTTTCTATACAATGTAGAAAGACACTGACTCACTCCTTTATATATGGAGACATGGCTATAGCCTTACACATATTGTGTAACCTTACATATTATACACATATATGTTCACTGACAATGACGTACTATACATGGATACTGTTACA